AAAGGTTAAAAAGAATCATAAAAAATATAAATGTGAAAAAGACTGTTCTTGCCCCGAAATACTTGCAGGTTATACATCAGGAACATTCAAAGAAGTTGAAACAAGATATGAGACGAACAGAAAAGAACTCATTGCTGTAAAAAGAGGAGTTCAAAAATATGAAGATTATTTACTACCAAAAAAGTTCTTGATTAGAACTGACAATACTCAAGTTAAAGCATTTTTGAAAAATAATGTTGATCCATCTATTGTCAATAGATATATTATTAGAATGCAAATTTGGTTTTCATACTTCGAGTTTGATATTGAATATATTAAAGGAAAAGCTAACTTTCTTCCTGATTATCTTAGCAGGGATGGAGCTAGAATATCTAAGGACAAAAGTCCAAATACTTGAGATAAAAGTTTCCTATTTGGAAACCCAAATTCAAAATATCCAAGATAGCATTCGAGGTAAAAATATAGCCCTTGAGGCAGAAATTACTTGTACCAAGACTAGTATCCCTTCGCGGGGACTTGTGAATACTAGCGCTCTCCCCGATGATAAAGGGAAAGAAAAGAAGGTAATAGGAACCCTTTCACAGGGAATACTCAAACCTATTACTGGTAATAAAGATATTCAAGATATCAAAAGAGAAGGTAGCTCTTCACAGAGCCAAACTCAATCTAAACTTTCTATTGAAAGGATAGATCCAAAAGATATTGTCAAGATATGCCATGAAGCAAAAATTTCCAGAAAAAATAACCATGAAGAAGTAACACTCTTTATTGTTATTTTCAATATTTTATCAGATTGGTATCTGGAGATTGGAAAGTGGATGAAGACTCTCCACTATTCAAAATACAACAACATAAATTTTTATCTAGGAGCACCAGCCAACTGGGTTCGAAATTGCTTTGAGATAGGAAATATACTCTGTATATATCCTAGCAAAGATCTCAAAGAGATAGCTCAGCTTCCAGCCAACATCAGGAAAGCTGTTAAAAGATATACTGAAGTTGTTAAAACAACAAATATATATATCAAATTCCATTCAACAACCATGGAATGGGATCCTCTTCTTGAATATATGCATCCATCTTTCCATGTGATCAAAATGGGAATCACAAATCAACATTTTTTACCAACCAATCAAAAGGTTGTTAAAAATGGATATCAAGATATTCTAAATATGATGCCCTACAGGCGAGCAAAAGGGTATAAAGAGATATTTGAACATGTAACTCAGATAATTACTGAGAAAGAAAAAATATGGGTTTATCCATTTGAAGATCATATTATTTATTCCAATGCAAGAATGGATACCAAAGAAGAAGATATTTGTTATCTCGATCATCTATTATCTGCAATTATATCCAACCAAGTGCACGGATCAGAGGATATGGCTAAAGAATTATGCAAATTACTTTGGAATTACAGTGATCACCATTGTGAATACTGTGTAGTTGAAGATATGAGTCAAGTATCCCTTAATGATGAAGAATTCCCTGCAGAATTCTTTGATTCAAAAATGGAAAAGTAATGGTGACTAAAGTAGCCCTTTATCACTACTTTAATAAAGAAATTTATTAAAAAAAACTGTAGCTACTAAAAGACAGAAGATAATACAAGAAAAGTCTCTACAATTGTAACTACTCCTCACCAATAGTTACAAGTGGCAGACAAACTCAAAAGATAAGGTATCTAATTTCAAAAGAAGAGGTCCACCCAACAAGAAGACAATGAAGAATTCGGTGGAGATAAGATAGCCTAACTACCCAACAAAGAAAGATGGAAAACACCTGTCCAAGATAAGATTCCAAAATCTCCTATAAAAAGGGGCATGAAGGAAGGAGGAAGACATCTCCAAATAGCTTATCTCTTAAACATAACTGAGAGAAATCTTTTGTAATCTGTATACACTACTTGTATTCAGAAAAAATATTAGATAGCTTGAAGATAGGAAAGCGTGTAATAAGGTAATCACTTATGGAGTTTTAAATTTCATAAGGTGAGTACCAAAGGTATGTAAATATAGTTTGTAAGCATGTACAATTTCAGTTTATGAATATCAAAGTAAAAATTGTTATGTTCAATAAAGCTTTCATAAAAGGATTTCGTTAAATTTCTCATGATTTCTCGACAGTACAGATAGAGATTTTAAAAGATTTTCAAAACATTGATTTTGAATGGATGTTAGTCATGCCAAAGTACCCGTCTTTGATGAATGGTTTGGGGAAAAAAGGCAGTTTTCTAACAAAATTGTAGCACCTTGTGTGTGAGTTATCTTTTAAAATTTCGTTCCAAGTAGGAACTTGATTCTGAAAAGAGTTTGGATAGAGGTGAAAACAGAGACTCTGGATACTGTGAGATAGCGTCTGTGGAAACACGGCTAGTTTTCTAGAATGAGAAGTGCAACCTTAATTGAAAAGCCTTTTGCGGAAGCAGTTGTGGACCCAAATGATTTCAAAAACATTTAAAAACCTTACTTGATTCAAAAGATTGATTAAGTACATACAAAGCATCTATAAGAGCATACTGGAGGGAAAGCCTGTTTATTTCCACTTGATTACTGTAAGTTATTTACTTGTTTTTACATGTTCATGCTTTAATTATTTTGATGTACAATTCACAAGCATCCACTTCCACTGTTAATGGTGATAATAATTTTATTTTATTTTTAGATGAAAAAGATGTTTCGTTTTTATTAAAATTAAATGAAAAATCGGATGATATATTCCCTGTTGGTAAAGAAAAAATCGAAAAAATATATAGAGATATAGATTATAGTTGTAAAAATATTATAGGATTTGATTCTGTGAAAACTTATAAAGAAATAAGAAAAGTAGAAGATATTATAACTAAACATAAAAATATACAAGAAGAAATTTCAGAAGGTTTAGTTCGAGAATATATAACTAAGAAAGGACAACCTATAATCTTTGAAGAACTATCAAGATATAGAGAATATTTAAAGGTATTCAAAAGATTGAAAAATATAGATATAAGTCCTGATTGACAAGTCCTTAAAGATAAAGGATACATCTTGTAAATAACTATAGTAAGGGCAATATAGTACTTTTAACAAAAGAGACCATTGTGAAAAATAGGAAGAATTTTCCAGCCATTCTCAAAATTACCCCGTGAAAAAGGGAATGAATATTTTTTATCTTCTATTTTTATTTTATTTTAGTTATTTATTTTAATTGTGGGTAATTATATCACCACTACAAATTTTAATTCCTATACCACATTATAATTACACCACAATTAAAATATATTTTTAATAAATACACTACAAATAAATTACAATTATACTTCTAATCCAATAAAAAAATAATTGAAAACTAAGAATAGAATATTGTGATGTATTTATCACATATGTTAATCCTCATTTTCTAAAAATCTCTTAATCTCTGCGACGCTGTTATTTGGTCTTCTCTTCTCAATGTAAACTTGCTTTCCAACCAACTAAACATGAGATGCCTTGGTACCAATTTGAAGCAGGTTGAATTCTGTAAGTGAAAGATGGCTGAGAACTAACTGATGGTGCAAATTTTCCTATAGGAGCCCACAGTATGAAAGCATAAGTCAACACGAAAGTTCTCCAACAAATTTCGCTACAATAGAAATAATTGGTTGGTAATCATTTTTCTGTTCCTCCACTGTTGTAGGTGGAGGTTGAAGAGTAACCTTCTCGTCTAAACGAAATAGAAGCCCACCAAGGCAACACTGACTCGACTCGTCGCTCCCTCTAGCTTTTTCTTAATCGATCCGAAAAACTCTAGATCAATACTCTCTTAATTACACTATACTTTATAAAGCTTATCTATATTGCTTGAGCAATGAGATGTTGAGAAAAAAGGAAGAAAGAAATTACGTTTTACGTTTGTGGTGTAACAATTATTTATTTAATTAAAAGGTATATTTAAACCCTAATTATGTAATTTTACCTAAGGATATTTAAGTAAATAAGAAAAGTGTGGTGTAGGATTTAAAATTTGTAGTGGTAATATAATTACCCTTTAATTGTTTTATATGGTTAAATAGCAAAATTATTCTTTTACCTTTTTAAATTAGTCAAAATTGGTCGAAGTTCAATTTTATTGGTCAACTAATGATTTTCCGTCTATTTGGATCTCAAATGCATATTTTTGAAAAGTTTGAGACTGTGAGTGACATAAAGTAAAGATTAAGATAAAATTTGCAAAAAATGAAATATTAGAACCGTTAACACTTCCGATGACGTTGTGGATTATTGGTAATATAATGTTAGAATCAACCTTTGATTATTGGGACACATTTTTGTATGATTTGGATTCTATATCTACGTTGACGTTATTTTAATGGTTGTTATTGGCCACGTCACAATTCCGTCTGCCACATCATCGAGTTGTTAACCATTTTTTGACAACGATGGATGAAGTGCAAACAGTGAAAGTTCCGAAGCAAATTAAAATTTAGTGAACAATTCATGATCATGGTATAAGTTTAATAATTTTTGAAACAATTAACTTATTTTAAGCGGCAAAATTGAGTCTTTGAATGTGCGTGTAATATTATTTTATTAAATAATGTGCGGTTGAAATATGGTCAAAGCACTATTCAAAAACGCATTGCTTCGACCACATTTTAACTATACATTATTCAATAAATAACATTACACGTGAACGTATTGCTTTGATCACATTTTAACCATACATTATTCAATAAATAACATTAGATGTAAATTCAAATTTTTTATTATTTTTTAACAACGCATTTTTCATTAACACACATTCAAAAATACATTTTTTTTTAAACAAAAATAAAGCTTAAACAAACCCTGAACACAATTACACTATTAAATACGATCATCTAATTTACATGTAATTACAACGAATGGAATTTTCTGACCATAGAAACCGTATGCTTTCCATATAGAATCTATTAAAGTGTCTCGGCCTTTATCCCATTATCAAGACGGTGATCAAACTTCACGTCAAGATGCGTTTTTTAGCATACATATTCATACATTAAAAAATAAAAAATACAAACATTTTTACATTAAATTGGGTAGGAAAATAGATATTACGGACGAGTATAAAGCCAGACGAAATTTGTTCCTTCTCCCGTATTTCTGGGTTTTCCATTTCTCACATATTTGAGCACTAAAAATTTTAGAGATACAGGCAACTTTTTTTTTTTTATTTTGTTGCTTATATATATAAATATATAGAATATATATACACGGATAGAGACTCGGGAAAAAGGGGGAGGATGCAGATCACGGCGTTGTTGGTGTTAAAATGCAGCCCGGAGGGTTCGGATCCGGTGATTTTGGCCAACGCATCGGATGTCTCCCGCTTCGGGTTCTTCCAGCGCCCCAGCGTTAAAGAGTTCATTGTCTTTGTGGCTCGGACAGTCGCTAAGCGGACCCCACCCGGCGAACGCCAGTCGGTGCAGCACGAAGGTCCGATACCTATTTCTACGTTTTTTCCTTAAAGAAAATGTAATTTTTTTTATTTTATATTTTTTTTTGGTATTTCACGTTTCTTGAAAATTGCTGTTTATTTCGATTGTGCATGATCCTGTTCCAATAGCTCTTTGCTGGTGTTAGACATGAGATTTCATAACTTTGAGATTATGTGGTGGAAGCTTTAATTTTAATTGCAGCGCACACTTCTCCTTTTTTTCTTCAGAATTTTTTTTTTAAATTTCTTTATTTATTTATTAGTTTGTTTTTGATCGATTTTGATTGAATTCATACGTTTGGAATTTTTTGAGCATTAATTTTTAGATTTTTTTTTTAATTTTTATTTTTGTTTTAGGGGTAGAAATATGCAATGGTTGTCAGATATTTTACGATAATTTAATGAAAAAACCGATGTGGTTCTATTATTATTTTGATTTATATTAGGGTTGTGTAGTTAAACAACGTAGGATTATTTATTGAGGAGTCGGTGATTATGATTCTGTGTTGGTAGATTAATGATTCAATAGGCTTCCATATGAAGGAGAGAATTTATTTCATAGGAGTTGCTATGTGAAGTTTTGAACTTAAAAATGAGAGATGGAATACAGATATGACAGGAAGTTGCAAGAAATGGGCCATTGCAATTGGAATAGGAAAAATGAGTGATGACTTTTGATGTCTAGTTTTGTAGAATTTTTTTCCCTGCGAATACTGGTTTTATGATGCTCAGGGCAGATAACCTTATGTCATATGATTGTTTTCGGGGGAATGTTAAATCTGTTATGGTTTTGAATAAGTGCATTCTGTATTTGGTAACTGTAATTAAAGTTTACTAATAATTTGAATTTATTTTCTCGATCATGATAAGTGATTAACTGCCGATTGAGGTCTTGTGGTTTATGAGTGTGATTTTCAATTGGCCATCGGAGTAAAACTGCTTCAGCTTTCATGGGGGAAATGGTTGTTGATGAACTTGTGTATTCATGAAATCTAATGTTGGAATGTGACGTGTGATTTGCAGGGATCTTTCTGAGTCTTTGAAGTCTATTAGAGACGTTTTGTTGATTTTCATTGAAAGGTTTGATATATAGTTTGCTTTTAGGGCTCCCGTTGTTCGGTTGAATACGTACTACTGTATTGTTATGAATATTGGGAATATTTTAATTGGATGGTTCTTGTAATCTACTAAGTACCAACACCAGTAGATTTTTTCCCACGCCATATCTGGTAGATTCGGACTGATTTCAGTTTCTAGTTTATTTAAAAAATTTGATTGAGTTAGTAGACCCCAGAATTGCTTGCTTGAAAGGTTTATCCTTTTCTGTTTAATTCTCTATGACATAATTGCATGCTAGAGATTGACATCTTTCTTTGTTTCTTTCATGCAATAGAGTACAAGGTACATGCATACAACCAAAATGGCTTATGTGTATTGGGTTTAATGGATGACCATTACCCAGTTCGAAGTGCATTTTCATTGCTCAACCAGGTAGCTGTACCTTATTGGTCAAATATTATATTTTGCTGAGATACTGTGAATAATAATTAATATGCAAGTTTCTGTGGATTAATATTTGTCAGGTTCTGGATGAATACCAAAAGAATTTCGGCGATTCCTGGAAAACTGTGCAAGCTGATAAGACTGAAGCATGGCCCTATTTAAATGATGCTCTAACTAAATTTCAGGTATATAAGATCTCATGTTATGTTATTGAAATAGAAAATGGAGACATTTCTATTTTCTTAATAAGATAATAGGTGCCACATATGTTATGTATCTTACAGCTGTCAATTTAATTTGTTTATGCACGGACTTTTCAGGACCCTGCTGAAGCTGATAAGCTGTTAAAAATTCAGAGGGAACTGGATGAAACCAAAATTATTCTTGTGAGTTACTTGTTTCCTCCATATTTAAAACCCTTTTTCTCTTTTTTTGTGTTGCTCCTCAGTTTATATCATTCAGACTATTGTTCTAAATTGATTTACTGGCTTGATGACAATGAAAGAGTTGAAACTATAAAGCCTTTCCAATCTTGCCTAAATGGGGAGGGAAAGTCTAACAAAGAAAAATTCTAAAAGTTAGCTCTGTGGTCACACCTTGGGTTTATTCCCCAATGGTCACCAATTCGAGTCTTCTTAGGGCCACTGATGTGAGCACCCGGCTGTAAACTTTAAGGTCTCGTGGGATTGGTCTAGGTGCGCGTGAGCTGGCTTGAAAAAAGGCTAACAAAGAAATAAAAGTCTTGTATCACGTTTAGGATTGTGAGATTTTATTATATTTCTGAGCATAATACTTCTTCGCTAGCCATTGTTCAGTTGCTTTCATACTTATTCAGGACTTAATAGGTTTGCTCTAACTATGCTTTTACTTGTAAGATTTTGACTTGATCATCGAGGGCTCAGTCTGTGTGTTGTCATGATTACTTCATCCTAGCGACACGTATCAGCTACCTGCCATGTGATTTTATGTGTGTAAATACAGTCAGTATCTTTTGTGTGAACCAGCTTTAGAGTTGACAATGTCATTTGTCTCTCTATTCTCCGAGGAAATTAGCTTATTGAAGAACGGGGTTCAAGGCTGATCATGATGGGATGGTTTGGTGGTTGAGATGATTATTAATTATTAGTTATGGCCCTCTTCTGTCATATGAAGCTAGAGGCATTGCCCACCAAATTTCAGAATTTCTCGCTCCTTATATCTGAAAAGGGAGGGGGGGGGAATAGACAAGACAAAATAGGTTGAAGCCTGAAAAGGTGATTCTTGGGACGTATGTAGAAACAGTGCTTGAATTTCTCGCTCCTTATATCTGAAAGGGGGGGAATAGACAAGACAAAATAGGTTGAAGCCTGAAAAGGTGATTCTTGGGACGTATGTAGAAACAGTGCTTGAATTTCTCGCTCCTTATATCTGAAAGGGGGGGAATAGACAAGACAAAATAGGTTGAAGCCTGAAAAGGTGATTTTTGGGACGTATGTAGAAACGGTGCTTTCAAGCACCTTTTAAGCTTAGCCAAACATATTAAGTGAAAGAAAGCCAAGGTTGAATACACCCAACTGAACAGATAAGTGAGCTCAAATCAGTAATATCCTATTTGATGTAGATATGTGACATCATATAAATGGATTATTTGTAATTTCTCTATTTTAAGCTATAAGCCCCCGTTTGGCCCCCATTAAATTAAATTCCGTCACATTTTATTTTTTTGTCTCCTATTTTTAACCACACAATCTTTCATAAAATAATATTATACGTAAATCGAAAATTTTTTCTTCTTTTTCAACCATTCATTTTTCGAAAAAACACTATTCCACCCATTCTTATTTCCAAAAAATGGGGGCCAAACGGGGACTAAAAGATGTGTTGATTGTTGACTGTTATGAAGCTTTCAAAAATGAAATTAGGTTGAGTTCTGTAAATGGCTTGCTTACCATTCCTATTTTGATTGATTGAGTTGCCTTCTAAATATCCGACTTTCTGTTTACTGGGTTGACCAACGATATGACATTATCTTATAGATGGATTATGGGCTACTGCAAGATTACTAGAGGTGCATGTTATAGCTATATTGCTGATTCTTTTTTTTGGGGTCTCAATTTACGACTCAAGTTGGCGTATAATCCTTCCATTGTTTCATTTTCTTCTTTCTTCCTTGTTAACTTTGCATTATTACTTGTGCTAATTCTTTATCTTGTTTTTTGATTCAGCATAAAACGATCGACAGTGTCCTGGCTCGAGGTGAGAAGCTGGATAGCTTGGTCGATAAGAGTTCAGATCTTAGTGCTGCTTCTCAGGTATGTATATGTAACTGATATTTTATGGCTATGGTTAAATGAATATTCAAGAACACACCTTTTCCAGCTTTTAGAAATAATTTTTCAAAAATTTGAGTAATAATACATAAATGACACGGTTGTCATAGTTTAACTACTAAGCATTTGTCAATGGATCTTCTTTCCTTATTCTTTTGGTAGAAATTCTTTGGATGGGCAACTATGCTTTGACTGTTTGACATATCCTCATATTAAAATTCATAGTCAGCGTAATTAAAAAGCAAGCTGAGGAGGAAACTATTTGGCCAGTCCTGCCACTGCTTTCTATGAGTTGGCTAATAGCGGTGTTTAAGAGTTCTAGCAGTTGAGAATGTATATTAAAACTTTGCTTTGCCCAATATTTTATAATAGCCATTGTTAATGGTAATGAGTTTTATTTCCATAAGAAATATCACACATTTTCTTTTGTGGTTCAATAGCAAAAATAAAAAGTTGTAAAAGAGTTAACAACTGACCTCGAACTCATTGAGACTAAGTTATGTGGAGTGGAGCTGAATATTGTAATGAGAAACCACGTGTTTAGAGTTTTTGAATACTCGTAGAGTTGTAAATAACTTCATGTAACTAAAGTTGCTGAAATTTGCCTCAGTAATCTTTTACCATGCAATGCATTTATTCAGAGCACATTTCTGATAAATTACCTTTCTTATAAGAAGCTCGTAAAACGTGTACATTATTTGCACTTCCTTTGTAATACCAATCTTGGATTAGAATTCATTTTTTTATTCAGAATTTGTGATCAAATATTTTTCTAATTACCATTGATTTGAAAACTTAATAGTTTGGTGACGCTGACGCTTGAATTTCCTTGGTGCTGTTGAAACAGATGTTCTACAAACAAGCAAAGAAAACCAATCAATGTTGTACCATTTTGTAAATGATTTTGGAGACAGAAAGGGGATTGGTAATACTTTTCTCTACTATGGAATCTATGGTTTGCAGATAATTTTGGGGAATTAACAATGTTTCTATTATATTCATAAGCAAGCTTTGTATTTACATGAGTTATGATCGTACTTATGATGTGATGCATAAGATCTTATTTTGTTTTTGTTCGTTATTCCCCGCCCCCGCCCCCGCCCCGGCTTCCCAGATGGATTTCAAGAAATTTGTTGCGTTGGTGTTTGATTAATGTAATGTATAATTTATAATTTAGAGAACTCCGTAGACATGGATAGCTTATATTTAGAGGTGGATGTAGATCATGTGAAAGGTTTTTGTGACTCCAGACGAGATGGATTTAATTAAGAAAAGTTACAAGCATCATGAAATCTTTTGGAGAAAATAAAGTTAAGATTGGTAATTAACATGAAAATTTTGCTAAGGCCATGTTTGGTTTGATTTTTAATACGTTTTGATAAAGGTTAATGAATTGTGTGGTTGGAAATTTGTGACCTATGAAATGTATGATTAAAGTTAATTCTTGATTTTGATTTTGATCAGATTTTTCATTCAAATCAGGAGCTATATGTTATTTCGTGACCAAACAATGTAGCCATGTGTTTGCAAAAAATTTTAATGTCCAAAATGAATTCTCTCTATCCTGTTCAAGTATGAACTTCGGTAAATTTTCTATAATTAACCTTCTTAAATTTATTATACCTTTTTTATCCACTATTTTCCAATTTTTTTTCTCCTTTTTGATACAATAGTGATTGTTGAGAGTTTTTAGATGTTTAATTTACTATGATTCTCCTCCAATCAAAGCTTCTTTCTGCTTGGGCAACAAGTAAACAAAATAATAAAAGCTTTCCTAGAGTTGGCTGTAACATCAATGTAGTATAGACACATTTAAGTGGCCTCCAAACAACAATTTGACCAAATAAAAACCACTTTCTCATATACTAAAACCCTTTTGGTATTCAATAAGACAATCCTGAATACTATGACATTTTTATCTGAGAAAGGAACAAAGAAACTTCCAACGTCTAATGGCAAGAGTAAGGCATATGTGCTCTGCCCTTTATTCTATATATTGAGTGACTAATGAATAATTGAAGCTTCGTACTACTTTCCCAGAATGGACTTAATCCACCAAATTCCTTTAGTGTCATCGGGTGCAGTTTCACTCTCTGGTGGAGGATCAGACTGTGGTGTCTTCTGCAATTTGCTCACATCATACCCCTCAGCTTTAGCCTTCTCTACAAGCTCCTTGTATGTCTTCTCATCCATATCAGGCTTCCTGCACAATATCTGAAACAAAATATAGTATCGACAAAGCTTTTAAGTGCTTATAATAAATAGAGTAAACTATCTAATAAGCTTCAAGAAAATTATAAGAACAATGGTTCCTGTAAGATTAATCTACCATCAACGATTACTGCAGGATTAAATAAAACTGGGGTATAGATCATAGATGATGCCAACAAATCAAAAATAGATCGTATGATTAGGCACAAAACTCATATAAGTCAAAATCCATACCCAGAGAAAGCTCCGGCTGGGCTGTCCAACCAAAGCGTGCTGGTAGTCAGCATCAATGTACAAAACCCAGTAATCCCCAGTGACGGGAAATATGGGCAAAAATGGGGGCACGTAAAATTTCACTTTAAGCTTAGCCTCATCGTTACTGGGATCAGCCTTGTAAGCAGTGCCTTGAATGAACCCTCTTTTACCATTAGTCCATGTCTCATTCAAAACATTAACAGTTCCATCGTCAGGGTTCAGAGAATACGTTGCCCTTGTATTGGTCCCATTTTTGGGCTGAAATCTTGATGGAAATGAAGCAATTTCGTACCATCTTCCCATGTACCTCGCTAAATCTAAACCCTTAACCACGCCCATTTTCTTCTCAGCCATTGCTTCAGATTTTGCGTAAACAGAAATGAGAAAAGCTTTGGAATTATGGATCTTTTGAATTATTTTTCGGCAGCGTTTTATAAGGGGTTTTTTGCTTGCTGATTAAGGTATGTTGTGGTGAAAACGTGGATGGTTAACAGCCTTTAATAGCGTGATAGTATAATCTTGAGAAATTGCAATTGCTATTTATTTGGGTCATTCTAGAAACTAATATTATCATTATTAATTATATAAATCATGAAAAATAACTATTAGGAAAAAAAAAAAAGGAAGAAAAAGAAGTAGGAACCTAAATGTGGATTACTAGAGTACCCCTCGCCTTGTCACTCTTAACAAATATTCTAAAATACGCACAAAGTAAATTCTAAGATGCTAAATATGCTTTGCATATACTAGCATATGCTCAATACATTTTCTAAACGCCTCGCATATGGAATATGAACGTGATAACGTGGTCAATGAATATAGGGTATGGATGTGATTATGCGTCAATTTATTTTGTTGACCGTATATGCAAGCTAAAACACCAAAATGTGCCCACATTTACATTAAATTTTTTATTAAAATTAGCTTATCAAAGTCCAATCCACTTTTATAATTAAAAAAAAAATAGCCAAACAATTATCAAATTAACCCAAATAATCTAAATCCACGAATTATATACAACAATTTGTAGGGTATTCACATTTTAAAAAATCAAAAATCAAAACAAATTATTCGTAGAGTTGCAAACTATTTACGTCGAGCATAAGCCTCCTCCTTCAATCTTTCTAGTTTTACTAGTTTGTAATGCAAGTAATAAACAATCTTGAATTGTTGATGGTTGTGTTGAGTTGACAAGTGGGGGTTAATAATGATATTCAACCATCCACAAGAGGTAATAGAAAATCCCTAGTTGAAATAAGGGAGCTCAATCTAGATGATTTTACATTGAATGACATGGTAGATGACTTGAATGAAGAGGAGTTTGAATTCAATTCAATAAAGAGTTAGAGAATATTTAGGATTTTATAAATAGATATTCGTGTCAAATCTAATTGTAGAAATTAATTACCAAGCAATTATAGTACTGATGATTTTGAACATTGTGTTTTTATTAAAAAAATTGAAGAATATGAAGAATTTTAGACAATATTAAGGGTTTTTTCTAAAAAAAAATGAAAAATATTTATAAAGTTTAAATAATTCATTATTTTATTTTATTTATTTATTAGTTTAATATATTTAAAATATTAGTAATTTAAAGGCACGTATATTTTTATAGGGACCATGCTACATTCACCTAATGGTGTCCATAATGTATTGTGTGTATAAAAGATTGTGTAAATCTTTGTGTATAAATAGTTTAATCCTTTTTATAATGCTTGATATTCGATCGATACGCATTGTGACGCTTATGCACTCTAGAACCTTGCTGTTAGGTCATTTCCTACCCTTACACCATTTCACTATTTTGCATCAAAAATTTGATGAAATCCCTCTCCAACCCAAAACCAAATTTTACACCATTTTGGCACAAAATCACTTGCACCATTTTGTACCAAATTGATAAAGTCTTTTTTTGTCATTTTTTCATTTATCACCAAATGACATCAAAGGTATGTGTCATTTTACATTATACATATTATTATTATTATTATTATTATTATTATTATTATTATTATTATTTGTAATAAAATTTTAATCATCTGATCATTAATAATCAAGGAATGTGGGATGAATATATGAATTTCGATAATTAAATTATGATACTAGGTCGAATTTGTCATATCATAATTTCGGGATTCGAAATGTACTATGTTATTTTTAATAACATGGTAATATTTTCTTAGTTGTGATATTTTTATTAACTGTACTATATTTTTAAAATTTATTAACGAAATTAATATTTTCGTAAACGAAATGTAATTACAAATTTAGTAATTTATGCAGTAGTAAATTATAAAAATAAATATTTTTTCAGATAAATAAATTGTTAATAAAAAAATTGAAGAAAATAATTAAACACTGTTAATTTGGTGTAATGGGTTGAAAATAATTTTTAATTTGGTACAAATTTGGTATAGGATTGGAAACATTCTTATAAAAACCGACCCGGCCGACCACCGTGAAACTCGTGACCTGGCCAATAGGCAGGCCAAGTTGGTTTATATTATCAAAGTGTGAACTTGTCAAAGCTTGGGTCAACCGACCTATTTTTATTAAAAATCAAACCGATTGACCGATTTTTTTATTGGATTTCAAAATGTTGAAATTAAATTTGTAGGTTTCAAAGAATTGAACCTTCAACTTTCAACAAAGAAGGTCCCGTGTCAAACCAATCGGACCAACTTTTTATTATCTCTTTACATAATGAGTTATTTATAGGCCCTGTTTGTCTTTCATTATTTGTCAATTAAAATAAAAAATATGATCTTTATTTATCATATCAAGTCATTATATTTGACTTTCTATCTCTTATGTAGGATCTGTAATGACTATATTTTCATTCTCATTTTTACATTAATATGGATTAAACGGGGCAATAATTCATAATACAACTGTTTTTAAAAAATGGCTTGATTGAAAAGATTAAATAATATGATTTTTATAAATATAATATAAAAAAATTATAGACCATGTTTGACTCACGTTCTTTTAAAAAATATATCCTTAAATAGTGATTTAATATTATTTTAATAATATATTTTTCAATAAAATAATATTACATGCAAATTGAAATTTTTTTCTTCTTTTCTAATTACACATTTTTCATCAATACACTATTCAAATTTACATTTTTATAAAAATAATGTGACTCCAACAAGGGTATAATATCAAATCGTAATCATCATTACTAACATGAGTTAAAAAAAAAAAATTAAAGATATAAATATAATTATTGACAAATTACTTTCAAATTTAAATTTTATCTAAAAGAGAAAATTTTATATACAAAATTGTTTAAAATATTTTTAAGGGTCGAGTTTAATAACTATGGTGGGTGATAGGGCTGCACAAAAAAATCGCGAAACCGCAATTCACACCGAAATCGTTGAGTTGAAACCGTTGGTTAGGGTCCACGTGGACCCGTGATTTCTTTTTCCTCAAACTGAGCCAAACCGTTTCAAAATGGTTTGGTTTAGGTTTTGATTTTCAAAAATCACACAAAATCAAACCGAACCGTTTTTAAAATTTTTAATTAAAAAATTAATTTTATTATCTTAAAAATTTTACAGATTTCACTTTTCAAAAAAAATACCAATTTAACAATACAAATTACAACTAACCTATTGAAATAATTATAGAAAGTAAATTAGGTTCATTATTATTGACATATGATTTAATAGGTTTACAATACATGTCCTCGTTTGATATATAAACTAAACTAAAATTATTCCAAAATCATATGAAATGGAAAAAAAAAAAAAACACGTATTTAACAATCCAAATCATAATTTAACAAAACTACATCAGTAAATTACGTCCAAAGTTTCAGAAATCCTAACATAAGCTCTCATTTCCCTAACATTTGACGCTTATCTACCACCGCTAAACGAATCACCAGTCACTTTGACCTTTAATCTAATAATATTTACCTGAATCGCCTCTTTCTCTCTTCTCTTTCGATTAGTATTAGATTTTTATTCAGGCCATTTTCCATTGTTCTTTCTTTTATTTATTTTTTTGAACTTACTATACACTTGTAAATTGTGGTTTAGATAGAAAAATGATTATTTGTGTGTCTAAATGATTAATGAACTTCTTTTTTATACGAAAAGAATGAATGACGAAGCGTATTGATTGTGTGAAAAATGTTAAAGTTCCCTAACTAGTACTATTACCTTTTACTTTACATCTCACTAGCAAAATGAAAAGGAATTTTAACTAAACTATAATAATAGAATTTAACTTTACATTTACCAACCGTTATATAACAATATGAATGTCAAATAATAAAGAGTAAATAAAAATAAAGAAATATATATTTGTTCTATTAACATCTTTTAGCAATTAATTTTGAAAATAATTTATTCATGTGCTTCATAGTAAATATGAATATAATTTAATATTTAACATTATTAGTTCTTGTTTACACTTATATTTAACTATGTTCAATACATTATTATAATGTCGAAAGGCAAACCGTGGATTAAAACCGAACCGAACCAAACCGTAAATTATGATTTGGTTTGAATAATTAAATAATTTGAGTTGGTTTGAAAAAATTTCAAACCGCTAAAAATGGTCTGAATTGAAAATATAGCACAAACCGTCCAAATCGAATCCCACTCACCCGTGGGTGAACTTAGCTGTGGGCAAGTCGGCAAAAGAAAAGTCAAACGAGGGTAAAAAGGTAATCCGGATCTCCATAAATACAAAGCTGAAAGCTTCGCCGCCTAACAAAAGAAAAAGGTAATCCGGATCTCCATAACTTCGCCGCCTAACAAAAGAAAAAAAAGCTCAGTGTTGGGTTCAACCTTTTTTTAGAAAAGAAAGCTCAGTGAGGAAGAATGAGGGGAGAGGAAGCTTGGGAATTTCTTAAGGGTGGTTACCTCTTCCTTTTGCCCAATGATTTCTCCATCAACAAATCGATAACAACCCTTCAAATGTATATATATATGTATGTATAATCTCTCTCAAACAAGGGCTAAAAGAGTAGAGATGGGAAAATTGCACTGCGGTACCAAACCTATTGATATCTCTGTCAATCTCCACTGCAATATTTGGAGTAACTGTTGGCAAATAAAGAGGCTGTGATGATTTTTCTTTAAGTCTTCTGAGCTAATGAATCGGGGAAAGAGATAAACTGACCCGTATCTTGGCGAGGCAATCCGGACGGCGTGTGATTTGAGGTTTTTTATACTCTCTCTCTTGCGCACGCAACTGATGATTTGCAGCCATGGCGGGTACGCCTTTCTCTTTGTCCGATCAAAATACAGATCTGAGCCACAAGATATTCTTTTTTAGGGATTCAGATTTCGATGGGTAGCTGTAGTGAAATTGGTTTCACAAGTTCCTTTTTCCCATTTATTTAAACAAAGTATCTATTTCTGGGAAATGGATGGTAATTAATTTATTTTTTCTTTTTTTCTTTATTATTATTATTATTATTTTATTATTATTATTATTAT